CTCGAACAAAAATAACAGGACCAGTATGAAAGAAAATTAACCAAACCACTCTTTATATATCTAGGTTTTTAATTTTCTTTTGGCTAAATTGAGTCTATATAAGAGGTAAGATAAAGCTGGATAGTCTTCTTGGCCTAGTGTTATCGAAAACCTTTTACAAGAATGGCACCCGCTCTGATGATGTCCATCATATGATGAATGAAAGCTTTGCACATTTTCAACCGAAACGAGGGAGGAATATCCGTGGGCTGTGTCAACATGAATATCTTATAAATTCCAAACGGCTGCAGTACAACGAGATTTATCCGTCCTCATCTGGTAAGATCAACCAGTGAATCTCTTTTTCACGCACTTTCATACGAAATCAAGGTCCCTCTTACAATGTTATCTCAGTAGATTCATCAAAACCAAGTTTCTCTTCGTATCTACAGCTAAATGACTGTTTCTCGATCTGTCAATGTCCGTCATATGGCAGACCAATCTGAGTCATAGGAAAGTGAGCCCATGGCTGTTTTGTGAAATCCAACTGTCTCCACTCCAAGGCAATCCTTCTTCCGTCTCAGGTGAGGGCAATGCCCGAGTCCCCTACAAGCAGTATTTCCTTGGAAATGAAATTCCGAATCATATCAATTCAAAACCCATCTTATACCACTTTGTGTGACAAAAGGTGACTCATGTTAGTTCACAAGATCGACTGCCTGTTTCGAAATCTTATCTCTTATTTCAGCCCAAATTAATTAGCATATACAGATTAATGGAAAGTAAATCATAGTTATTGATGTGTGACCAGAAATTTACGTGCGGAACTTTGGATGAATTGAATTACCGATCGCAACATAATCTTCGCTTTTCTTCTATCATCAAAAATAAGATGCAATAAAAGCTTTTAAGTTCCTGACTACTTCAACTTCAACATAGTACAGCAAATGGATTAAGTATGGTTCGAAATTATCTATACTTCTTAAATAAGAATAAGTTTGTCCTAGGTCACTGAAGCTGATATAAGTAATGATAATTGCATTTTACAATGCTATGAGTAGGCCATACTTATCTCCTACCTGAAATGTAAATTTTTAACCAGATTAATGGACTGTAACCAGAATACTGCTATTTAATATACGCGATATGTTTACCCTAATTCGTTTGGGGTGATGATGGACTATTAGTTGTATTTTTACACAGTAATATGAATAAACCTTACGCCTCCGTTGAATTTTACGACAATCAAATCCCGGCTGGGGTGGATTGCAATTTCGACCTCGCTAATGTTTCATCAGCTACCCCGGCGGCACTTGAACCATAAATGTACAGTGTATAAGCTCGACTTGTTAACCACTACGCCACAATGCTACGAGTGTTCTTGGGTAACAGGGCAGATGTGAATTTCACGGAAGGCCATGGATTTATCCATATCACATTCGGTTGTGGGATTGCCGATGAAGCGAAGTTATACTTGTCATAGCAATCGACTACATTACTTATTTTTCGTTTGTAAGTAGGTTTCCGATACTACCAGTAAAGCAGATATATGAGATGTGCTCATCCCATTTCGTTTAAGGTAGTCTTTAATCCCTACGTATAACCTATCATTTTATGCCAAGAGTATGTGCCCGGTTGTCTACACCTCACACGAAGCCTTATGACGCCCAGCTTTATAGAGTGATAGGGGGAGCAAGTCCAACAGTTGAGGCAGAGCTTCATCTGATCTGCGAAGAATTTTTAAAACCATTTGGTATATCCGCATTTATTCGGAAGAGAACACTTGCAGATTTTCGAGAAAGCTCTAAAGGGAAGTGGGAATGATAAACGAGTACTTTGTGTTATCACAAATTACAAGAAATAATGGACTTGTCCGAATCATGTGTGATTTATTTAGCCGAAAGTATGTCGTTATGTCACAAACTAGGCGAGTAACCATCATTGGCAATATGTGAAACAGGCTTTAATTAATTCATTTTGGGATAATATATCATTATTTATTTAATATAATGCCATATTATATGTACATGATATTAACTATTTTCAGTACTCCTTATATTCTCTTGTATCAAAAATATCCCTTTTGGTCGTTTTCAGGGAATCTACATTTTGATCTCTCCATCACGCATAATGATAAAAAACTTCACAACTTTGGGAAAAGTAAGCGACTGAGAAAACCCAGATTGGCACGGGCTACGATATGAATTAACCTGCAGCTCGTCAATCCTCCTTTTTTTTGTATGGATTTAATGCCTGCTAAATCCCGAAAACGACAAGCA